AGACTTTTTTTGTTGACGTACGCATTGTGTGTGACCCCAGCTGGTTGGTCTGTGCTTCCCATCAGCTATGGTTTCCTTCAAACTGGCTGTGACAGATTCTATAGATTCTCCGGTTGACATTGTTTCTGATTATCTTTGCAACTAAGCTGCAAACTTAACAGATTTAGTTATACAGGAAAAAAATCACTAAAACCTCTTCAGCTTCATATTTGTATAGGAGTCCATGTTGTTTCTGTGAAGTTAAGCTATTTAGGATGCCACGTAATGATTTAAAGTTAGTCTTGTGGGATGGTTAGTTAGTGTGTGCATGTGAGCACATGTGTACATAAACATGAATAACTTTGTTCTGTGACTGCTTGAAGCCGAAGATCATTCAAATTGAATTTTTCTTTGTGCATGCAAGTAAAAATATTTCGCGAATGCCAGGAAGAATAATAGTTTATGTAGTGATCATGTTTTTCTAAATATGAAAGAATTGCAACACTGGTTTTTCTCCATGAGAAACAACAATAGTGGTGACTGAGAGATGGAAAAATAATTTATGTAGAAGCAAAGTGCTTTTGTTCCAAGCGAAACATACGTATGTGCACTGACAGATTTTTATTTTGAATTTGCATCAGTGACGAGCATGCTCAGTTTGTGGTGGTTTTATATATATTGCGGTTCAAGGCTCTCCGTGAGAGTTGTAAGAGGGTTTCTTTCCCATGTTTCGGTTTTCCATAGGTAAAATGGGAATAATGACACTGACCTCCTTTGTGCTTTGAAAGTACTGCTGAGAAACATTATATAAGAATTGTGTATTATTATACAAATCATTCTAGTTTGATCCATCTCTGCTGACCTTTTTCATCCATGCAGTAAGATTACCGTGACTAGGAGGCTGATGGGACTCATTGTGTTCAGCTTACCACTGTACGCACTGCTGTTTTTCAGTGGAACATAAATCAGTGTAATTTTTTTTGTCCCAAATGATGGGCGTTATTAAGACTTGGCATTTATTTGGAATTTGATCACGTTTAAAGCCTTTACAATTGCTATGTGATAAAGTATATACGATTAGTTTGGTGATATTTCTACTTTAAGTTGAACACAGAAATCTGTTGAATACTTTCTAGATGATCTACAGTATGACATCTACTTCCTCCTTGTACTTTTTCTGTGCTGTTTTATAAATAAGACTTGAAGAGATTGTTCCTGTTGATGCTTGCTGTTTTGTAATACTACCTTGCCCTCAAAACTTTAGAAATTACCAGCTCTTCAGCAAACAGAGCTGCACTAACCTCGAAAATTTGGTGTAAAATACAGCTGGTCGTCTTAGCAAGCAAGTGCCTGCTCTCAGAGCTGGTTGTACTTGTGTCGGCAGTCTCCAGTTTGTGGTGGTGGTTTTTTTGCGCTGGGACCGGCCCTGGCCAGCTCCAGGTCTTTGAGCGGCAGCCGTGTCCCGTGGACCTGGGCTGCCCCTGCGCAAGGGCCGCAGGCAGGACGGGATGCTCTTGGAAGTTGGATTTCTCTTTATTTAGAGAAGAGTAGTGACACTGGCAATACTGACTGCAAAATCTGTCTCTTCAGGTTGGGGCGCTGATGTGATCTATTTGGAAACGCATCAACTTTTTGCAGCAACTAACTGAACCAACTGTCATGTTTGCTGTGAAGAGAGATGGGAAGGTGGTGTCTCCACCATTAAATATTTGGAGCAGTTGAGGTCACATGAGTATCTGGACTATGGCACTATTTTTGAAAAAAAGAAAGCAGGAGGGAGGAATATTTTGTTTGTAAGTGATAGAACTTTTTGTTTACCATTTTTTCAACTGCTGACAAACACGCAGAACGACATCTTATTGTGAAAAATTCAGTTGCTCTTTCCTTCTGTCCGTGGTGGATGGGAGAGACCTCACTCATAAAAAGAAACTGGCCCCTCTCCATCCTATCTGTGTTTAACAGTCTACGCATTGACATATTTATATTTACCCATAAAGAAATTTTAAAGGAGGGACAAGGCCAGGGAAACATTTCTTTGAAAACTTGATCAACTCTTAACATCATTTGGACACTTCTGCTGCCAAATGTGGGATTTGTGTAGGGATTAGAAGATTAAGATCTTTCTTACTGACAGTAACTCTAGCCAAAAAGACTTTTAAACATGTCATATGTAAGCGCCTGTCTTTTTAAAATCGAGGTCAAGTAATTTGAATGACCCTTGTATTTACTAAAGTTGCCCTAATGGTGACCGTATACCTTTAGGTAGCCTTGTAAACGAAGGCACGGTGCAGCAGTAGCTCTTAATTAGTGTTTTTTCCAGGGCTGCTACAGTAGATCTGGTGGTTGTGTGTGGCTTTGGCCATGGGTATTGTATTTTCAAGCTACAGTTTTCAGAGAGTCTGCATGTGTGCGTGAGGGGAGGTACATACATATGTTAAAAACTATTGCCAGTGCAAATAGATTACAATCTACATGCCACATGTTGAGAAAGGAACAAACCGTGTGCGCAGCGATTGACGTGGGATGTAGGCGCGTACATTTAACTGTACACCAGCAGTGCTAATTGTACCGTACGCTAGGTCTGACAGGTCTCAATCTGGCATTGTGAAACGTGACGTTACGGTGCCTCTGGCAGGCCAGGAAGCGCCACTGGAGAGGGCTCTGTGGCGTGGCCCTATGGTAAGAGAACTGTAAGCCAAATGCTGGCATTTCAGAATTTTACTGCACTTTGCCATGTGACCTTATGGTGTCGGCACTGGAGAAAGTAATTTATTTCTTGATAAGAAAAGGGACAAGGGGAAATAACATGAGAGCTGATCTTGGAGAAAAAGGGGCCAAAAGTTTCAGCTGCAGCAGAGAAGAGGAAGATTTCTGCAGCAGTACTGTGAAGTGACAGGCACGTCACTGATGACAACAGCCTGCGATGAGAGGGGAGATTAGGTTTTGATGAGAATACGCTAGCACAGCTTAGCAAATCCTGGGCAAAATCCTGTAGCAAAAGTAAAATTGACAAGTAACTGGCCAGTTTAGAGAACTATTTTGAGCTCAAAATGGGAACACAGTGTATGTAAATCATGAATTACTGTTGTCTTGTGCACTCTGGCACTATCTCACAAAAGGTGTTTCATAATAGAGCAAGGATTTACTGTGGGGGTGGGTTTGCGAGTGTGTTTGTTTTATGGTTTTTTTCCTAGGTGAGTTAGGTGACTGAATAAATTAGTCAATTTATTGAATAGAGAAGAAGCAAGCTGCTTCTTCTGATGTTCTCAGATACAGATCTGCCTTTTGGAAAATTAATACTAAGTAGTAGTGTTACTCCAGATGCCAAAGGAGTTTACACAGAACATTAGAACATCCTTGTCTCAAATTGTAAATATTTCTCGTATCTCTGTTCATTTTTTATAACGGTGGGACTTGGCGTATGTCTACACCTTTTCTACTTCCATGCTGTAGCTACAGAAGATCCTTTAAGTATTCATAGAATCATAGAATAGTTTGGGTTGGAAAGGACCTCTAAAGGTCATCTAGTCCAACCCCCCCTGCCACAGGGGGGGTTTCTCTTGATTGTGTTGCTTCTGCTTCGTATTACAGAGAAGTTACACTGTTGAGTTTATGATTTTCCAGTCACCTCATGGCAGAACATAGGTGTACTAAAATAAAAAAAAAAACAAACAAAAAACCCATGGTTCAGGACCAAGTGAGAAGAGAAGAGCGGGCAGTGGAACAGAACGGGTGGTATGAGAAAAGACCAGGGAACAGAGATGTCAAACACCGAGTCAGCTTGGGACCATCTGGGCTAAGCTGAATGTTGGCCAGCTCCTGTGGAAGGAGGAGGGCAGGGCAGGGGAGTGGTGAGGGCCGGTGTCTGCACTGTTCTGAAGGAACTTGTCACCTCGGGTGCCTTCAGTTTCTGTCTGCTAGTGCCAGAGAGCATAAGTAGCTCTTCAGGAGCCAATCCTTGTCCTTATGGCTCATGACCCCAGCTAGACGCAAGCTGACTCTGTGGATTACGGGGCAGGGGCAGCTCTTCCTTATATTTGATTCTGCCTCCAGACCCACCACTGTAATTCCCCATTTTGAATAAGGCCGTGCATAAGAATGCAGGGAGGTGTTTGAGTGATCGATTCCCAGCTCTCTTGCTTTGAAACTGTCAGAGACAGGAGCTGCTGCTGCCACAATGTCCATAGGTAACTAAGCGTTCGCTGCTTTGAGTGGCTTGTGTACAACAGTTTGCACACTCGTGGGCTAATGGTAGTGCTGCATGCCAGTTTTGATTAAGACATTAAGTGTGAATTAATCAAGATTACAAGATACGATTTGGAATAGAGGAAGAGCAGCAGCATTTGTGAGGTACGGGCTGCGCTTCTCTGAGCGAAGGCAGGGTGAGTTCGATCCGTAAGCAGTCCGAGATCACAAAGATGATAAACATCTTTGGATGAGAACACGCTGGGTTAGAGATGGCATGGTTGGCTTTATCTTGACGTCCAGCTGCCTGCTCTGTTACTTTAGGTAAGTTGCAAAGGCGTTATTTACTCCATCTGTACAGTGATAGGCTGTGATAGGCTTACTTCACTGATGTTTGTAGAATACTTTAGTCAGATGAGGAACGGTTAAGGCTATGAAGATACATGGACACATATTTTGTACACGTGCTTATGATTATAAATAGGATTTGTGTGCTGACTTCTTTCTAGAAGTATGCTCATTAATTTTAACTTTTAATGCTGAGGTATGGCAGGCTGTGCGCTCTTTGTCTTAGACAAGAAGAAATTGTTTCTGGAAATAAAATACTAACACGTAATTTTAAAGGTAAAATAGTGAAGGTGTAGTTTTGTGAGGTGTCCTTGTGACATCTGGTAAAAGGTCTGGAGGCTTTTATGTGAGGGCGTGCTTGCAGTGTACAAGACAAAAAAGCTAATCTGATTCCAAAACCTTAAAATGATGTGAGAATTTGCCAAAGTGTTATTCACAGGTTACTAAGGAAGTGTAATTTAAAACTCTCTTTTTACTGCTCTTTTTAGGTAATATTTCAATAATCACATTACCAGTTTCCAGCACCAACTCCCCAACTAAGATTTTGCCAAAAACCTTAGGACCAATCAATGTGAATGTTGGACCCCAAATGGTAAGTTTTGCAACTCCGGTAATGCTAAACTTGTGTAACTAGCTGCGTGACTTCCTGTTGATGTAATATGGAAACATGAAAAACAAAGATGGGAACAGTGCTAGGAACTTGCCGCTTCCTGCCTCAGCGGCAAAGGCTGCTGAAGTGCCCCACCTGGATGGAAAGGTGGTGACATGTGGGTACAGCAATCTTGACGTGCCAGATTTGCCACTCCCAGCGATCCTACGTGACCTTAGGGGATACCTATCTTCCTGGCTTTGAATGGAAATTGAAACAACTTTACCAGTTGACATTTTAACCATTACTCAGAAGTGTATTAAGGAGAAAAAAACCCAAACTCATTAAGAATGTTATTGATACTCTTTGAATATTTTGAGTCATGTTCTTACCAGTAAATCTCCAGCATTGCCGAAAACTGAATGTCTCAGATGTGTCGCTAGAGATTTAGCTTGTTGAAACTACTCTTCTTAAAACTGTCTTTTCCTGTCAATGGTAACTGTATATGAGAGCATATTGCTGTTTCGGGGATTTTGGATCTGGTTTTGAGAAAAATTTTTGGTTTTCTGGTGACCAGAGAACTAAATAGGCAATAGAGTGAACTGTTTCTAGTAACCCGATGCCTCCTTGCCACGCACCTAGCCTAAGAACAAGAACCATTTAACGTGTTTATAACTAATTGTGGTGGGTCTTTTTCACATCAGAAGTTATTACTGTTGTTCAATGGCTTTTATCCCAGTTGGACAGATGGGCAGCAGGATTACAGCCAGGCCCCCCCAGGGCTGCATCCGCCACTCTGTAGAGCTCTCCATCTGAAGCACTAGCCGCAGGCTGTCTGCCAGAGAATAGTGTTCCTCAGTGCATCAGTACTGATGCGGGTATTGCTAGAGCATGTGCCCTGTAGCATTTCGCTGGAATTGTTCTACTACAAAAGATTGATTTTGTGAGTGCAATAAATAGTAGCCAAGAACAGGACAGAGCAGTCAGTTAAGGCAGTTCCTACTCTTAGGAGTGACTTCTCAAGGCCCTGCCTTTCGTTGAAATGAACCCTAGTTAACAGTTTAGGTTCTGTAGTAGGTAGAAGTTGCAAAAGCTACTGCATGGTGTGACACACACATTTTGTTTTACTTATTTTTATTTTTTATTCTTATTTTAAATAAATATTTTAAATTTTTTTATTCTTTTATTCTGCTGTTTTGCAAGGATAGATCTATATTCAGAAAACATTTTCTTATTAAATAGCCATTAACACAGGTCTCCTAAGACATCCAGTGTACGGCTGTGTTACGTCCCAGACCATTTAAAAGAGAACGTTCACAAGTTCTTAACAGTGGGAATGTTAACACCCCTTTGGCGTCTTCTGTGTGTTAGCAACATCCTGCTGCCGCGAGGGGTTTTTGCCTTTACTTAGCCACTGTAGGTTACAGCCCTTGCGGTTGCTCCAGCTCCTTCACACAAGCAACAGCCCCCAGGATCAGTGGGGTGGGCTGTTGGCTGAGCGGTGACCATTGGTCTGAATCCCTTGGGGTACGGCTGTGCAAACGGTGAAACCGGCACAATTTGCAGGCTGGATTCTTGTGTATGGGTGTTTGTTACAGTTTCTTCAGATTCAGTCTGTAGGTGTAAATTTAACAGCGTTAAGTATTACTGATAAAATGTTAGTACTTAATTACAGGGATTTAACACATCCTACAGATGCTCTATTTGCTAAACTGCGGTGAGATTTTCCTTTTTATGCTGTGCAGTGAATTTATGCGATTACTTCAGGCACACTGGAAAAATGTTTGCTGTTAAGAGAAGATGGAATTAGTCCTCTGAAAATACTCGGTGTAGCATTTTTTGTGAAAGCAAATGTAAATTTAAAAGTGACACTGAAATAACACCGATTTGTTTAGCCGTGACATCTGTGTCCCCGCATCCAAGAACTTGCAGCTTTAACAATAAGCTGTAGACAGGTGGATTTTTGTGCTTGTGCAACTATTGCCTGCAAGTGTCCATCGAACAGGGTGCTCCCCGAGCGGCGCGGCTGCTGTGGGGAGGGAAGGGGGTACCGTGGGGAGGGAAGGGAAGGGGGTGCCGGGAGCTCGTGCTTCTGGTGTCCATCCCCACTAGATGGCACCCAGGGGTAGAAAGATACGGGACAGGTCAGTCCTGGAACACCCGAACATGATGTTGCCACCTCAGTTTATTACAGTGGCTGTCGCCAGAAAATGATGAGGAGATTGGACATAAAATACTCTTTGATGACACGCTTGGTCTGTGATTTACAAGACATCAGCAGAGCAGTGTGAAACCTCGGGGAGGGTGGAATGTGGTGAAATGCATTTCAGTGTGCAAAATATTTAGAATCTTTTCTCCCTGGCATGTGTCTGCCATATGGTGGCAGAACCATGTACTTACTGCAAATAAACGCTATTTATAGCGTTGCAAGAAATTGATATAAAAAGTTACTGGATTGGATTGACGTTTAATTGAAATATTGCATTACTGATTCTCACTTACATACTGGTGTTACACCAGTGCTGAATTTAAGCAAGCTTTTAAAAATTAATCATTACATCACAAAATGTTTCTGACTTTAAGCCATTGTAGCAGTAGGTTGGTAACAGTTGATACCTTTCCTGCTTTACATGCAGTGTGTAAAGCAGCCAGCCAGGGATCTTTTGTTCTCCAGTATCAACCAGTAAATATCGAACTTATACCTGTGTTTTGGTTTTCCTAAATTTCTGTTTTCACTTGTTTCTGTCAAGCTATCCGCTTGCAAAAGTAAATAAGATGAATCTATGTCTTTAAGATAAAAAATACATATATGTAGTCACGGTGTGGTGTCAGGAGGGATGTGAAGTAACGCTCAGTGAGCTAAGGAAATGGGAAATTCTTCAGATACTGTTTTTTCTACTTGTTTAAACAATATTGATGGATACCAAACAAAGTATCTGCCGCATACTTACATGGGTGTTGGGTAAGTTAAGTAGTAAAGGAAACGACCAGGTTTAATACAGTAGGTACTCAAAATGTCACTAACAAATGGAGTAAAGTAAAATAAAGTTTAAAAAAGCAAATAAGGTGTATGAGTAAAAAGCACTGTCCAAGAAGCTTCGGTATGAATCTTACCATACTGGAATCAAAATAATTTAATGTGTTTTATTTTAAAGATTAACTGATTAATACTGTTTCATTTTTAAATACTATCTAAATTCTTCTGGTGACCTACTTTAAAGAATGAACTTATGATGTGATTTGAAAGTTGAGACCAAGTGTCTTAGTGTTAGCAACCATTGCACATACCATTTCACCAGGTTTTAATAAATGTAAATTCTATCTATACTGTACAGACTTTACAGTTAATTCCATAGGTGCAGTGTTGTATTATTAGCTTGCTGGAATGCCTTGAGATCTTGTGAGTGCTAGAAACTGCAGGGAATACTTTGCCTGCAGCTCAGATTGTCTTTGGTACTAAACACAGACAATTGCAAGAGACAAATCTATTGGAAAGGAGGCTTTATTGATTACAGTGATCAAGAAATTGCCTAGACGCACTCTCGAAGAAAGAATTAGATGTATATAGGTACAGATCCTACCTGCCATACCTAGTAATTATTTCTATTTGTCTAGATCTTGTCCATATGAATAATACAGTAATATGGTACAATTAGTAGAAAACTTAACAGCATTATAATTACTTTCATGTGTGAAGATCTTCTGATGACATCTCTTCTGTATCTTTTGACTGCAGCTTGCATCTGGTACAGAATTATTATTTTTTTCTTAGTACCATACTTAGTATGAATTTTGGGCTGTTTTAGGAAAACAAAACCTCTGTTTTCTTAAGAGAGCTGTGTTTTTTATTTCTAAATTTCATAGATCATAAGCACATCACAAAGACTGACCAATTCAGGGAGTGTTCTGATTGGGAGTCCATATAATCCAGCTTCAACGATGGTCACACAGACACACATAACGGAAGCTTCTGGCTGGGTCCCAGGGTAAGATTTTTGTTTTATTTAAAGATGTTTGAGGATCTGTTCTGATTTTTTCCTTCATTTATACTGTTGTATCTATATGTTGGTTTATGGCTTCTAGTTACTGCACAACTAAAAGGAGTATGCTCTTTAGTCTATTATGCACTTTGATGTCTGGAACGTGTGAACGCGAAAGTACAAGCACCAGTCACGTCACTGTTTTAATTTTGTTTTATGGCAGTGTCTGTTTCTTTGTGAAAACGGAGAGTCACAAATCCATGAGTCCTGTTAAAAGAAGCCTTTGTTTTTTTCATAAGTTCGTGGTATATCCAAGTAGCTTTGCTGTTGAGCGTATCAGCGGGTGCCAACAGGGGGAGAGACTATCAAAAATGCTTCAAGAGGCATTTAAGAATAAAGCTCTAATGGAAAATTTTGAATGTAATCAATGTTGTATTTTTGTTACTATTTTACAGTAGCAACAAGTTTTCATGGGGTTCTGAGGTACTCCAGAATAAGATGACTATCTTTCTCTCTTCTAAGGAAATCTGGTCTTTACAGTATTTCATGACTTTTTTTTTTTTAAATAACAGTACTGCTGAGCTTATCTGTCTTAAGACAGATGCAGTGCTTTGCCTCTGAAAATTAAAAAGTAATTTGTGTCCGTATCTGGGTTAATTTTTTTAAACAGGTGATGAATGTGAGTAGTACCTTTCCAGCTTTAGAGGTGGGAAAATGGAGCATCTAGGACATGGCAGAAATGAGAGTATAATGTTTGTACCTTGACTTTCTTCCTTCTGTGCTGTAAGCAAGGACTGTCATAGGCTTGTACTTCCCAGTCACTATATTCCCACCATAGAGTCAATACACTGCATGCCCAGCTGAGCAGTTTTTAAGCGTGATTTTTTTGTTGAGTATGTGTTTATCTCCTCAAATACCTTTTGAATCCGCTTAGTTCTGATTTTATTTGAAAAAGGAGTTGTCAAAGATTACTTTGTTTCTGCAAATGTTGTGCAATGTGGAGGCCAGGCAGAAGCTCTTTCAGTACCCAGAGGAGGGAAAAGCTATAGTGTCTATTCACAGCTTGCCAAACCGGAGAATCAATGCCCATTAGCTTTCTTAAGCTTCATGCAAACCCAGGTGATGGAGATTCCCAGAGAGAAGCCTAGTGGCAGTGCATCAACCGCCACCACCAAGGAGAAGCACCATTCTTCTGTTTGTATACTGTCAAAATCTAGACACAGTATTTCCAATGAGCCTAACTATTGTTTCGCTGCTAAAAAGGAGCAAGATGTTCTCCAGACTGACCGATCGATATTGATCCCTACAGAAGGCCATACGATAGGTCATATTTTCATCTGAAGAACAGAGTGAGGAAGGGTCTGTGGTATTGCCGAACCTAAGCGGTGAGCCCTTGCTGAAGACCTTTCCAGAGGATTGCCAAGTCCAGACTCGTGCTTTACCCGTTGTTTACTGCTCTTCACAGATTCCAAATTGTTTCCAAAATCAAATGAGACAAGAGCATACTCATTCTCAGGGCTCCGTACAACCTCCGTCAGCCTGGCTTACAGACCAGGGGACAGCTCTCCGTTCACTGCCGCTCCAGCCCCCCGCCCCAGCTCTGCTGCATTCAGACCCCCAGCTGCGCAGCGTGAGCGGTTAAGCACCATGGACAGGGATTGCCAGAGACAAATCCCGCCGTTGCTGCCGAGGAAGACGTCTGCTGGTGGGTTCTGGATCGCACAACCACATACGTGCAGGCTTTCATGGCACAGATCTTCAAATCCATCATTTTTGTTCAGCTCCCTTCATAAAGTTGTCAGGTTTTTAGCTGCGTAAGTATCTGCTGTGAGCCCTGGTTTTGAAACTGCAGGGTAACAACGTGAAGTAATTTACCAATAGTTCTCAAGCAGTGCGGGTTGTATCAGCTGCAAGAATAAAAGACAAGTTTGGAAAACAACTTCTGAAGTCGGCTTGCTGTAGCTAATAAACAGAACGATAAGGAAACCAGCAACGATTGGTGACTGCTACTCCTATGCAAAATTCATGTCAACTGCTTCTTCAGAGCATCTCTCTTCAGCTCTGTATGCATCAGCTCTAATATGAATGTTTAGTGTTTTACCTTGTTTTTTTGTTTAAAGATACCAAAACATTCAATGTCCTGAAAATATAGGATATATCTTACGTGCTGTTTAAAGGCATTTTTCTTCCACATGGAGGAATTTTAAATAGAATTTTTAAAGGAGCCCAGCTTCTACTTTTTGATGGGATTTGGTTATCTAGCTCACATCAGCACTTCCTGTAGTTCCAGATGAAGTGACTTCCCTAAAATCATACGGGCAAAGCATGGTAAAACTGGGAATAGAACTTGTCTGGCAGTGAGCTCAGACAGCCTCCGAAGTCATAACTACCTTTTCTCAAATTTTGTCAAGCTGAGTGTGTGCTGTTTTTCCCTTTCAGTAAACAGGTAACAGCAAATATTAGTACCCAGCTAGGCCCCAAATACATTGGTTTTGTTAGTCTAAATATATAATGTTATTTTCATCTAAGTTTGAATTGTCTTTTCTTAGGGACAGGAAGCGGACTCGAGAATTTATAGAATCAGATTTTTCAGAAAGGTGAGTATTATTGAACATATATATATTTTATGTTTACAGTCATACCTGTTTTACTAATTCAGATCTGCCCTTCAGAGAGGTGGGTGTCCAGTTCCCACTTTCAGCAGTTTTCACTCCTCCATGTAAAAGTTATGTTGTATGTTATTCCTTGTAGTTATAATTCATTACTCTCTGCTTTATCACTTCCTGATGAATACATTTGCTGTTACAGATGATGCTGGGAGTTGTGAAAAAAAAGCAACAACACATCTTCAGAAACAGGATTGTTCTAGTTTTCAATGTGACAAATACTTGTAAACATGATCTTTTCCTTTGCTTCCGAAACTTCTTTGAATGCCTTCAAGGTGGTTTTATTTGTTTGCCTATCAGGGGTTACTCAAATTGAATAACTGTGTAGGGATTAGGAGTGTTGGTTTTTTCTAAATCTTCTGGTGTTCCTTTCCACTCTTCCTTTTCTTCTGTCCTTCTTTCCAGTGTTCTGTTTTCTTCAATACATTCAAAATTCTGAAAAGCATTCTTGTATTTTAATGTTTTCCTTAGCTTGTTACTGTTGACAGAACTAGGCCTTTTTCTGTAAAATAATAGATCTCCCTGAAGCATATTATCAAACCAACTTGCTACACTGTAATTAAAAAAAAAAAAAAACCACAACCAACACAGCTGAGCTTTTTAAAGGCTTCTGTTGAAATACTCATCCAGATCTAGCTTGTGTGATAAAACCAATTGCTCCTGTTTTTTCCATTACCATTATCTAAGCTCTTGCTTTTCTGGAGGAAGAAAGTGAATGGAAAATAACCCTGACAGTTGCCGGTTTTTAATTTGGCACCATAAAAACCAATGAAACTTACTCTCCACAAAAGAGATTCTTGTATCTCAGTCTTAACTATGATGGCACAGATATTAAACTTAGGTTGTTAAGGCACTGTATTGTAAGTAGGGATGTCTGAGCCTTTTTTTATTTTAAGCACAAACATGAGAGTTCCCTGTAAATCTGGCTTCCAGGCACACAAACAGCCTGTGAGGTTTTCCCCCTTTTTTTGGTTGCTCTTTTGTGAAACTACCTGGAGATGAATTAGAAATCCAGTTTTTTAAGCATCTGCCCAGCAGCATGTGTTCAAATACTATCAATGTAGAAATCGCTGAGAAAGGGGAAAGGGCTCCAGTGTACTTTTTTGCCAACTTGTAAGAAACAAGAAACTGATTCAGAAAAGCAGAACAGTTTTATTTTTCATTTAGGTAGTACATAATGTCATGAGTCCTGGTTCCTGTTGCAAAAGGTAGACCTTTTGCTGTGTAACAAAGTAGCTTATTAACATTCGATGTATTAAAATAATTACTTTTCTCCTTCCAGTAAGAGAAGCAAAAAAGGAGATAAAAATGGGAAGGGTCTGAGGCATTTTTCAATGAAAGTATGTGAAAAAGTTCAACGTAAAGGAACAACTTCATACAATGAAGTCGCTGATGAGCTGGTATCAGAATTCACAAATTCTAACAGCCACCTAGCTACAGATTCGGTAAGCAAATATGTGTTGAAATTTGTTATACCATTACAAAATTGTCTGGTTCATCTTGGAATTCTGTCCCTTTCGTTTCTGCACTGTCCTGCCACGCATCATACTTTTCCTTCACTTACTTAACTACTTAGCAAATATAAAGCCTTACCCTCTGAAATTTAAAAATAGAGAATTAAAATGAAGAATTGAACTCCCTCTAAATAATAAACAAAATAGAGTAGTCTGCCAAAAGAATTATCTATAAATAAAAGGCTACTCTTGTACCCACCATATGTGGTCTCGTCAGGCTTTTCAACTGTAACAGACTTGCCATGATGGGAATTTGCTGCACGGAGGCTTCAAGCAGGTCTGAAGCTTCCATTTGCAACCAAACACGCTCATGTAGTATCCAAGTAGTAGCACAGATGAAGGCATCGTGTTTTAGTACCACTCTGACGTGAACTGCCATTTGGGGGTTTTACCTTCTACATATCTATGAAGGATGTGTTCAATCTTTTTTCCCTTTTTGAATTCTTTTGTTGTAATTAGTGCTGCATTGTTTTCTTAGCAGGCTTATGATCAGAAGAATATTAGACGAAGAGTTTACGATGCCCTTAATGTCCTGATGGCAATGAACATAATTTCAAAGGAAAAGAAGGAAATCAGATGGATCGGCCTTCCTACAAACTCAGCTCAGGAATGTCAGAATCTAGAGGTAAAGTGAGGTAGATGGGAAATTCTGTATAGTTCACAGGTTGTGGTAATGGAGCTGCTCTACTTTTAGAAGAGGATTTTTTTCTCAATTTGAACTGATTGGATTTGATTCTCGCACACTATGAAAATGCAACTTTAGATATTTGAATAAACTGACAGGGATATGTTTATGTATCCCTAGTTCATTTTTATTTAGCATACATTACATGAAGTTTAAAAAAAACCCTGTTTACAGTACAAAAATGGACATTGATTAAATCAGGGATTACTTTTAAGATTAAAGTCTGTAGTAGCCTAAATTGACCAGAAGAAAGTCAAAAGAATTTATGGTGCAGTTATGCTTACAAAATGGTATACATTTGAAAGGAGACCAATTTTGTATTAATGTCTGTACTTGGAAATGCCATTCAAAGGAAATTAAATTGAAAAATAATTCCTGCTAGGATGTCAAATAATAGTTATGAACTGGCAGGGGAAAAAAATGAAGTTTTACTTACTGGTTATTTCCGTTATTTTTCCAGCAGGCTAAGAGTTACCATGTTTTTGCAGAGATGCCAAAATTTATATGCACAAATGTTGCTTGTCCTTCAGGCCAAATGCTCTATAAATAAAAAGCACAAGTTACTGTATTTATTGCAGAGTGCTGTAATGACTACGTGTAAATACATCTTAATAGGCATTATATTTGTGATACTTGTGACGTTAAATATCTTAAAAGGTGGCTGGGGTGCCTCTCCAGTACAGAACAATTTTTTTTGAATGCAGGTTCATTTACATCAATTGTCTTTCTAGATGTGGTAAGAAAAAAGCTTTTACTGTCCTTGTCCATTACAGCAACTTGGAAAATACATCCACCCAAGGAGTATGCCTATGCTCAATCATTATACTCCAGGATTCTTTTTTTAAAAAAATTATGGATAAATCTACGTTTTACATGCATTCATGTGAATGCATTATTTTCAGAATAGGTTATTGTTACAAATAGGGACCTTGAATTTCATTGCGTCATCTACAATGATCATAACGCTATTCACTGTTTCAGGCTCTAATTACATATGTACAAAATGGAAACCAGGCATATTTTCTTAAAATGTTGCTTCCTATGACATAATAGAAAAGAATAGAAAATAAAGCTGTATTTTCTTGGTGTGAAAATCAGAATTAATTTTGCTTTTAAAGCTGTGTAAAGTGCCAGCTCTTCTTACGGTGTGATTCCATAATAAGATTACCAGTACAAAAATGAGGAATTGGTACAAAAAAAGCTTGTTATGTAGAAACCATATCTAAATTGTAGCTGTACTCTTCATTGGTTTTGAGAGTTACATATTTGTCCCACCAAAGGTCACCTACTGTGCTCTGAAGCAAGCATTTTAAACATAAAAGTGTGTGTGTGTGGAACCACCACAAAGCAACATTGTAAATGAAATAGGGGGTTTTAGGCCAGCTAAGTTTCAAAAGACTGCATCATTTAGTTTCAGTGGTTGAATGAAAAGGTAACTTAAGAGTTTAATATTTTTGGGAGCTGTGATACAGTGCTGGCACCAACAGGATGATGAGGAAAAACAGCTTTTAAACATGATGACTACTGTCCAATTCTTTAGTGTTGCCCCAGAACACTGTTTAAAATACTGTTGGTTGTATCTGCAGTGTCAGTAGACATCCAGTACTATTGCTGACCCAAACACTGCACACTTAGATTGAAGATAGCTTTGCCCCATAAACTGGCATTAACAGAACTGTTGCAAGAAATGGATTCTGTGCTCATGTAGAAAATGTTACCTCTACCCCCTTTTTGTTGCTGAAATCTTGTTAGTTTAATCAAGTCTCAAATGAGCAGTCCAAACAGAAAGTGGAGGTCACTGGAAAGATGCAGGTGATGATCCTGAGCCCAGCCTCCGCACATTTATGTCTAGTAGCTTGCAGCTAGGAGGACAGTGGAAGGGATGTGCACAATTCCAAAACAGTGGAGGGCAGGAGGAAAAAAAAAACCAACCCAAAGCACCACCTCAAGCAAATGTTTTAATTTGGTGCTAATCGGCACTCAGTGCACAATACAAAAGAGGAGGAATGGGTGGGGAAATAATACAGTCTCTTGTAATAATTGATTCTTTACAGAAGTTAAAATTGTTGACAAAGAAAGAAAATTACAGTTTGTCAGACCTGTTTTATAGAGAAACTCATGTGACTATGCGATTTGTCTGTTTGAAAAAGAAGAAAATATATGGCAAATGGGTAGGGCCAAACGACTTGTGCAATTTACTTACCGTGCCATGGAATTCACCACCACTTACAAAGAAAGTATGGATTTTTGTAATGGTGCTAGCACACTAATGTAGCTCTAAAGCCTGTTCAGTTTGGCACAATGGAACAGACGAGGTAACTAAGTAATTATCTTGATGGATTATACATTTATATTTTAAGATAGAAAAACAGAAGCGGATTGAAAGGATAAAACAGAAGCGAGCCCAACTACAAGAACTGCTGCTGCAGGTATATTTAGTTTTAATTATTTTTTCTATAAATGAAATTATCAATTGCAAATCTGACATGTTAGAACTTCTGAAGTTCTTTCTAGATTTGTTTAGCAGCTATGATATACTAGGGAGAAAAGTTTCATGCTTGTGACCTTTCTGGATTCTGGTAGGGGGACCTCTTACCCTCACTTTCTGGTTTAATTTCACCTATTGTAAAACCACGTGCTGCATCTGCGTGCCACAAGCTTTTGTAAGTGTTCTGCTGAAGTTTTGTCAACATTAATGGGAATGGGAACAACTCACGAGTCCCGTTTGTTGACTCCAGGTGCCCCCAGAGTTACCTTCTCTGAGTAGTTCTTACTGGAAAATTTCTCTCTGATTCTAAGCTATGAAATTTACAACTGAACTTGTGTAAGTATGTGCAGTTGTTTTGGGGAAGATAGACGTTTCTGGATCCAAAGAATGGAAGGCTGGCAAATCCAGCTCTTTTACATTCTGACATGCACCTTTGAGATGACTTGACTTTTGGCTTTGATTGCAGAAATATATTTCTAATGCATCTTTGCTTATAAAGTAACATTTTATAAATACAGCTATGAGCATTCTTAAGTGTTTTGGTCTGTGCAGACTTTCAGTAATTTAAATGCAATCAAACTTTTTTATGAGGTTACAGGCAATAAGGCTATTTTTTTTTTTCTTGGTGTAACAATATTGATACAATTTTCATGTAATTAGATATGCACTGAAACTTTTAAATATCTGATGCTTCTCCTTTTTTCATCACCAAAAACTGTTTCTCTGCTTAGGGCACAATTCTGATTCTATCTGTCTGACCTAATAAATTAGCAGCTTCTCTAAGAGTAACATGAAATTATCCTGGTGAAAATAAGGCAACTCAGGCCCTCTTAACTATTAGTCTGAAAATGACAGAGTTGCACTCCCTTACTGTCTACAACTGTCATTATTTCCTTGATTACGTTCATTGTCAAATGGTTTACCAGTCCTTTGGGATTCTGTCTATCTGTCTTCCCCTTAAGTGGAATAAGTAGTGCCTCAAAGTGGATAAGTACACTGACTTCCAATCCCTCAAGTAACATTTCCTAAAAACACACATTTTCATACATATACACTCAGATATAAGAATACAGTGGGGAGCGAGTGATGTCACGAACGGCACCTGTTTAAAAACTTTCAGAGGAAAATTTCAAAACTAACTCTTTTGAGAGAGAAAAGAGGGTTATGGATGAGAAGGGGAGGAGAATATGGACCGTGGGAAGTGGGGGAATGCGGTAATTTCTGTTAACTTTTGTTTCAGTGCAACTAGCTCCTAGTCTGAGGTAATTATGCATATAAAATAGCAGAGAAGACCTCTGACTCCAGTGCCTTTTCAAAAGGAGTGGGGAACCATTCTCCACCAAGCTTTATTGCTCCTTTCTTGTTTCTTCTCCAGGGATTGTGAGGGGGGCATAGCCGTTAGGATACGTGTGAGAAATTTGTGTTTAACTTCTGTTCCTGGTGAGCTTCACTAGTGCAAGGAGGAAGTCAGGCCACAACTTCCTTTTTGACAGAAAATTACTGGAGGTATTGAGAGTTGGTAAATAAGAGCTATGAAGTTCCACTTCCTGGAAACACTGATCTATTCTCTTTCATTTTTTCTTTCTTTCTTTCTTTCTACAGCAAATAGCATTCAAAAACTTGGTACAAAGAAATCGGCAAAATGAACAACAAAATCAAGGCCCTCCAGCTTTGAACTCAACAATACAGCTGCCTTTCTTAATAGTCAACACTAGCAAAAGAACAGTTATAGACTGCAGCATATCAAGTGATAAGTGAGTGTTTATGGAATCAATTTTTAGAATTTTATTTTCTTTGTGGACTGGAATTTTTCTTTGAACAAATGAGAGAAATTTTTCTAGTTTACTAAAAGTAATTATGTATTTAAATTTGCTACTGTCACTTCAGGGGGGTGTTTTGTTTTGTTTTTTTTTCTTTATTGCAACTGCAGTAGTAATAGGAATAAGTTTATCAACATTGCTTTACAACAGCTAGTTAAAACAGGCTGACTTTCACTGTTGTAAAAGGCACTTCAGACTGACATTTCAAAGAACGTTCACTGCACAGGAGAAATAACTGAATGAAATTATATACTAGGACAGCACTAGCTTTTAATGAACCCATGTGGTAGTGCTTCTGAATTCTTATTCCTAATATGCCATAAATGTATTTAGTCAGATACAAGGTGATCCATGTAACACAAAAGTAACATCCTAGAGGTGATAACAACAACTTTGAAAGTGTCTTTTAATAGCAGAAGTGTTGCACCTAGCTCTTGGAAGGAAAAAAGGGAGGAAATTATACAGACATTTGAAATACTGTCTTTGTAAGCAAACTGCTATAGTTGCACTCTTATATTAATCTGAAAATCTTCCACTTACTTACTTCTGGGTGCTTATGCTCTTCATCCTGTGAAAATATGGCTGAAAGTATGAGGTGCTGTTATGTTAACTGTTAATTGGATCACAACTAGTTTATTAGCTGAAAATAGCTGGTTGGCTTCGCTTTAATACTGTAGATTACAGATTTCACTCTGTGGTATACAAATCCCATATTGAACTTCTATAGCAGAAATAGACAGTCTCTAGTAACCTAAGCACCAACATGCAAAAAAGCAATACTATTAGAAGTTGAATTTTGGTAGAAAAGTGGACTGAAATCAAATACAATCTGTGACAAAACTTTTGGAATACTCCCATCAGCACTGCAGTTTAGCAAGTTGGGATTTTAGGATCAATATTGATCTAGCTTAACTTTACCCTTATTTTATAGGCATACTATACAGTTCTTACTGCACTTTTAAACAGTGCTCTATATTTAGGTTTGAAGTTGTTAAAAAGTTGAACGATTTCATACTGAAACTTCAGAACTGCTGCTTTGAAGTTGTCAGAGATTAAACTGGCATTTGGGATCTAGAGAAGCGTAACACACTTCTACAATCTCAAACTGTAAGAAAACACTACTACTTAATGAGCACACCGAAATTATTTAAGTTGTTGATATTTCAGTTTATATAACCCAGCTTCAATATTACTGTCATCTGGAGATCATTAAGTGTACGACCCAAATTAAACAAGATTTCCACTGTGGTTATTACTTGTGCAACTGATTAGTGGCAGCAACAGTATGTAGATAAACAGTGCCAGAAACTGCTAGTGTTTAAACCACTGTTACATTGATCTGCTAAATAAGGCAGTTGGCAAAAGTGGTCAGTCAGTTTGGAGAATTCAAATTCTGTAGTTTATTGGAGAGTATTTGTGCTGCCTAACCCCATTACTGGTCAACTTGAGTGCTTGCCCTTCACTTGGTTTCAACGTCAGTTAATAACCCACCGTTGTAATGGGCTCCCATTTTCTTTTCTTCTCCCAAATAATGTTTATATAAAGCATTGGTTGGTCAGTATTTATGATGCAACAGCAGGTGATGTTAGAAAGTCCGATGAACAGATAAGCTCACAGCGTTAGCTACTTAACATTGTATTTACAGAGGATCTTCCAAAAGAAAATAATTGCTTGGAAAAATGGTACATATAAGGGGGATTTAGCATCATGAGGAACATAGGAAAAAACTTAGAAGACACAAACCTATGTAAGGACAGGCTTTATCTAGACAAAACAGAATGAAATTTCTCACACGTAAAACAAAGAGGTTATTGGGCAAGTTTTGTTTAGAGTTTGAGAAGGCAGACGGGTGCCAAGCAGCATACTGGGAATGACGTTTTGATGTTGGAGTAAAGAAAAGCAGAGTCTTCAGATAAAAAGGAAGAAATTAAAAATTATGTTGAAAAGATGAGGTACCTGAACAGGAAAAATGTATTTAGTGTATATGGTGCTTCTATATAAATGCTGTAGGTCTTAGGAAAAAAAAAAAAAGGAACCAGAATACCTAGTTTTAAACAAGCATTCAGACACAAGAGATGTATCAGAAACTTGGAAAATTAGAACGTCTCTATTCTAATAGGAAATGCAGATGATTTTGCCACTGGAGATGCAATGCTATATACATCAGCGAAAACATGTAGGAAGTAGACTTTTGCACCCTTAGAGAAAGAATTGCCTGTAAGAGCAGAAAATCCAGATTAAATTCATTGTTGATCAAATTTGCACTTACCATGGGAAAGCAACCGTACCCAAACTTTGCATACACAGTACTGGCCTCTGGACCTAGCTTTTAGCACTGAATAATAAGATGGAAGCCCAGTAGGTCATTCTATGAGAACAAAAGTTGATTTCTCAATAACGGCCAAAATAAAGCTGGGCATTATTAGGAAAAACAGTAAGAAATACAACGTAAAACTAGGTACAAATAGTGCTTTTATATCTGGAATACTATATTCTGTCTTGTTCTTGGAAAGAGCATAGCATAACCAGGAGAGAGACACAGGAGGGCATTGAGAATGGACAGAGGGACTCTTTGGCCTAGAAAAGAGAGGACAGTGGATTCACAGGTGTCTATAAAACCATGGATGACATGGGGAATGTGCATAGAGAACAGCTGTACACAGTTGCTTATTAAAGGTAAAACTAAGAGACACTAAGAGAAGATACCAGGTGACAGGTTTTAGACAAAACGAATGTTGTAAGTGGTTTTGTAACAGTCTATGCAAATCATAGCATTTGATGTTGTTTGTGCCAAAAGTTTATGTAAGTTCAAAAAGGGGTCATGTCAAGTCCCTGAAAGAAAACCCTCAAATAGCTATTAATGGCAAAGGTAGAAGTGTAGGGACTTCTGTGTCAGAGGCTGCAGGTTGCTAGAAACTATACTGGAGAAATATTACTGTGAGTTTCTTTGTTTGGAAACTTGGGGGGGAGGGAAAGGAGTTACGCTCCTTTCCAGCACCCAGTACTTGACCACAACACATGGGAGGAGAAATGCAGAGCTATAAATAAATAACAGCCTTTAATCCTGTAGCATAAAAGCCGAATTCAGTTATTACTTAGTTAACTACACAGCTTGCTGGTAGTAACTTGATATGACACTGGTCTCCCATCCCGTTTGTGTAAACATGACTGTAGCTGCAC